TTAAAATATTATTAAAAAAATTGTTGGCGCCCCTTAAAACAATGTGCCCGGAGCGTATGCCTCTCAGACCTCCCACGGCACGATTCTAGTAGGAATTCAATTAGAATTTTCCTGTTCAGTTTTTCTATATGAAATATGTAACAAAATTCAAATTTATAACTAATAAAACTGAACATTTTCTAATAGTTTGTTCAAATTTTCGTGTTTATAAACGTCGAACACTCAACTAAATTGGTTTTTTATTATCCATTCCAATTTTATAAGTAAAGACCGGATTTAGCATATTATGCATATTCATATCTTTATAAGCTATTACATGCAGTAAATGGGYTTTCATCAATCATAGTTAAATAAATAATGTTACAAATTTTTATTTTGCATATTTTTGCATAATTTGGGTACAAGTGCATATTTTCYATAAAAATGCATGTTTTTGCATATTACGTATATATTTWAATAKTTTAATTTAATTTTATAACTGTATGTACCATTATTATACACAAATTTGTTCAAAACACAAAAATTGAAAATATTTTTAAAAATATAATAGGCAGATTGTATACTGATTTTCCCGTTGTATATTTTTATCTTATCTGCTTCATCTAACATTATCGAGTTATCGACTATCGTTTATACTACCGAACACAGACTGACAGACTAACGACTGTAGTTCGAAGTGTACATTCGGCAATAGTCAACGACGTCAACGTAGTATAAAATAAACTGAATAAACACATAATATTAATTTTATATAACATTGTTTGTGTTTTTTAAATTACAATGCCAAAGTTTCCAAGTATTTTGCATGTTTTATGATTTTTAAGTGCATATTTTCATCATAAATGTTTTGAATTTTTGATTTTATAAATTTACCATAAATAAAAAGCTGTAATAATCAAAAATTTATTTTGCATGTTTTATGATTTTTAAGTGCATATTCAGAACTTCTTAAGTGCATATTTGCATGCATATTATAACATTTTAAATGTATATAGATCCGGTCTTTATTTACAAGCAATACTCATAAACAATAACTTATCAAGATAAAACACTGTTTTAAAACAATTTTTAATTTTTGTCGTAAATTAATTTTTATATTATGTTCAATAATAATTTTATATTATTATGTATAGATGATATTAGTACTTGGTGGGTAGATTATATACACACTGGCGGATTGTCGATTTTAATTTGTAAATAAAAAAATATCTTGCATTATGAATATACTATATAGCATATAGGTACTGTATTATTCGTCTATACTCTATACTTATGTATAGTATATAATATTGTAATGAATGATTAAATATTTTGTTTAAAAAACTGATAATGAGAGCACATATTTGGTGAACATAAGCCTGGTGTACACGAGCATTTTACGTCATTGGACGTTAAATTTAACGTCTGTCGTAATATATTGTATTAGACGTAGGCGATATCGAACGGATGTTGAGTGTGATATGGTGCTTTAAAACAACTACTATAGCACTACTCTTATAGAGCTATTACAGCCATAGTATTGGCTATTACAGCCATAATTTATCTAGATTCTGAATTTCTGGATATCTGACTTACTTGCGAACCTATAGTCCCGTTAGAACGAATCGAGTTATTAAAGGCATGTTAATTATTACCTATAAGATTWAAAATATAATATTGAATTACAATTTTAAATAAAAGTTTTATATTTTCTCTGATTACATTAACTTAAGCCATGTTTTTATGATTTTTTATTAATAGTTGTGCTATTAATTTTAATTTGTATTTTTTTTTTTTTGTTTTTGATACTAAATTTAACAAAATGTCAATAAATATAAATGAATGTTTAGATCAACTTCTATCAATTACTTTGATTACGTCGTTCACATGATMACATATTCACATCCGTAATCATTTTTCGTATATAAAGTTTATATTACATTATAAAAATTAATTTGTATTTGTCGACAYAGAAATCTCGGCACATAATTATTTTCCAGGAATAATAGAAATAATATTAAAGAACATTCGGTGTGTACGTAATTGAGTCCCACAATCCCGGAACATACCAGAACGAGGTAAAACGTAACTAAATAATTAAAAAATATATCAGTTGAAAAAGTAAAATGAATCAATTAAGTTCTTATATCTATACATTATGAAAAAAATCGCTTATACATTTTATATATTAACCGTATAATATATACGAGCAGACGACCACGTGATATTGTTCTTATTAAATATTCAGAATATTATTTTTATGATTTTTTTTGGTAAGTTTTGAAGTTACCAAGTTTAAACCCATATGAAAATTGTAACATTATGGTTTTTATTTGATTACGATAAATATTTCAAAATTTAATGATAAAGCGGTCGTAGCCATGGGGGGTATTCCATTATTAATTTGTCCTCATCTGTAGTTTTTACAATATCTGATTATGTAAGATTTTTTATATATTATTATATTAGGTACACATTTTATCATAGCTGACTAGCTGAGTATACAAAAACCGTATAAATATTATATATTTATACATATTGTACATTTTGTGAAAATGGACTGAGATAACTATTGTCTGTAGACCTGGAGTATACAAACGAGTAATATTGTCCTCTTCGTTTTATCACTAACACGTGTTTAACAAAAAAAGTGCCGCATCAGTGGTGAATATAAATTAAATACAGCTATGCCCTATAGGCAATAATTTATTGTRCTGAGTATATCAGTGTATTGTGTATGTATCTCCCGGTGACGACCGAGTGACTTAAATGGCGGTATGCAACGCAGTTTAAAATCACGATTAAGCAGTAAACACGATCGCCGCTAGCACTGCTCGTAGTACGTCAAGTCAACGTGATTTTATTTACTCTTTWTTTTTTTACTACAATATAATTAGGCTGTTCCAAAAATCACTGAAAAGTGGTTTTACCGTAAAATCATTTATTTGTAAGAATATTTTTGATATTGCATTTAATTTAATGATAGTTTTTTTTACTTATTATCAATTGTTATAATTATCGAACTGATTAAAAAAATATATAAAAATCCCGAATTTATATATATATAGTTTAAAATYGGTTTTTAAATTAACCCTTTCAGTAAGTCATATTCCTAAATCCTGGAACATGTGAAACAAATTGTATGTCTTATTATTTTTATGTTATTGTTACAATCTTTAATAATTCAAATGTTATTACCACTTTTATGATTTGCAATAATTTGTCATATGCACTATAAACACAATTATCAAAACCAATATAATATACAGGGTCAGGGTGTAGAAAGATAGGAAAAACATTAAACAATTATGTTAATTAAACGTATAGTAAAAATTGTTATTATGTGATAAGTAAATAATTTAAGAAATATACTCATGTCAGCAAATTCTCAAAAATCATATTTAAAAAAAAATTATTATGTTCAAAATTAATTTAACCAACAAAGTATTGAATTTAAAAAAAAATCTAGAAAATAATTTACTTGACTTAGATAAATCTTTTTACCATCAAAATTGTTCTTATAATCAGATATACAAATAGGATATTTCGAATTTATCCAAAAAATTGGTGTAATAGGACCACACATCGGAGGCTAATTCGTATTGACAATAAAAATAATACTTCATCTATGTCACCAGAGAAAACAGTTAGCTAATCTAATTAATTTTAATAATTGGAATTGTCATTTAAAAATATAAAAATATGTCAACAATATCCATTATCCATAAAAATGTACTGGGTGTAAAAAATATTTTTTAAATGCTGTATGACATTTATCAGTCTTAGCTGTATTTAAATTGAAAATGTTATGCACTTTTAAYGCAWCATAATTTCAAATATTCGAAATTTTTCTTGTAGTATTTATGTCAAGTTATTAGCCTAATTCTTTTAATAATCTTATCAAATTTTCGCATACGCTGTATGAACTAGAGCTATATTGTGCCACAGTAAGGCGYGTTCCCATTTACGAATCTATTGAGCGTCGAACTTTTTTATTTAGATTTGATATTGAGATAGCCCAAAGCCAATAAGGCACACCTCACAACGGAAGCGTCGTTACAAAAAAAAAAAAAATGAATAGTTTGAATTAATCTACACTGTCCGTAACGTATCAACATGTATTACAAAACATTTTTATTTAGATTTGATATTGAGATAGCCCAAAGCCAATAAGGCACACCTCACAACGGAAGCGTCGTTACCAAAAAAAAAAAAATGAATAGTTTGAATTAATCTACACTGTCCGTAACGTATCAACATGTATTACAAAAACAGTTACAATAATATTACGCCGTTGACGAGCATTCTCAGATATTCAAAATAAAAATGTTTTGACACACTTTTATATATTCTAGGTGAAAAATAACATCCTTTAGTTATATTACTTATCTAATCTATTATATTTCGCCTTGTCGCGCGGTTGTAATGGTAAAATTAGCAGATAATAATATAGGTTATATTAATATAATTAATATATGACATTTTTACGTTTACTGTAATTCAGATAACTTTAAATCTCATTCATTCGACGTTCAATCGTGTATAATATGCATTACACATCGTGTCGCGCAAATACAGTCGTGTAGTCGTGGAAACGTGTCGGAAAAGATTTCTGTCTTCAAATCGAAAAGGCGACGACGGCCGCCGYCGCATTTGGCGGTGTTCGTCGTCATCGTCGTAGTCGGCCYTCGCTCACCTCTCCCCCTTCAATCCACCGAACGACATCCGTCATTCAAAAATGTATTGTTTTCGGGTGGGAAAATAACATGATCATATTATTGGCGAGTGGCGACGCAGTCACGGAGACCCGTACCGAAAATGTTCAAAGTCCTCTCTCCCCGCACACTGCATCACTGCAGCGAATTACACTAAACTGCAGCCGGGCGTCCTGATTCGCCGGAACCGCCAAGACAATAGAATTTCACCACCACCGGTGCAGTCGTGGTGTGCAACTTTGCAACTTTCAACGGTTTCTTTTCCATGATCTGACTCCACACCGGCGGCGGGCCAGCGCGCTCCGTGCCAGTTGCACGTCTCGTCGACGTACCGCACCGCACCCGCCCACCTATCGCTGAACCGAGTTGATCAACGGGTAAACGGTATTAAACGCTTCGCAGTCCGCGGCCGTTATTTCGTTTTGGCTCTTCCGCCGACACGCACCCTGTCGCCGATCGACATTTGCTCTACGCTCTACAGATCGCTTCCACGTTGTGAGCCCAAACAACTTATTTTATTTTTGCGTTTATTACCAAGACTCGTAAGTATGTTGCTTTTTATTTTCTTATTGTTAACTGTAGTTATGCCATTGTGTGTGGCATCTCTTTACGACTTTAATCTGGTTCACCTAACCACGTTTTCAGAAACCATGCATTTAACTATGCTAACCGCCGCACCGAAAAGTCACGTGGTGGCGATTAAGTTCTCTCGTTTCGTGTTGTATGTCTACTCATTATTGTTGCATATTTTTGATTTTGCCATACATTGTAGGTAGTATTATTATTATTAATACGTGTTGAACCAATCTCGTTGAGTATTATCTCCAATGATATTATGTTTTTATTACGACGAAAACTTTATCCTTAATTTTTTCATATTTTATAATTCCGGATATCATAATATTAATATAAAATTATTCTCGCATTTGTTGTATCCGTTTTACAAGTTTGTCACATACTTATTTTACTCAGCAAATCTCGTTTAACTCCGTAGCTCCGTTAGTTTAAAAACTAGATTGAATAAATTGACCTCTAATAAAGTTCAAAGGTAAAAGTATAATATTGACGAGCTCATGTCGTAGATGCCTAAGATGTACAAACAATTTACAATTTTTAAATACTTAAACTCGCTTCAAAATTAACATATAGTAAAAAACCACACATAAGGTTGTCTAGATAATACTCCTACCTACCAATATATAATTATTTCTCAAATTTCTAGTTTATTTGGTGTAACGTGTTTTTGTTCCGCTTCAACATTCTTAATCTATACCAGTATGACAGTGAAATCGATTAAATGCTTATTTTTGAAACAAGTAATAACTTTTTCAATGTCGAATAACAAAGATACAATATACATTCATATTATACACATGGCACACCATAGATTCCATATAAAATTCAAAATAAAATCGAGCATGTTTTTATTTAAATCATAATATATTGAGTAAAAAAATATAAATTGATCAAATTGAATATGAATATAAATTATTTTAAAATTAATTTCATTCATTATTAAATATTGATTATTATTTCTAAATTTTTTTTGTCATTAAAAATAATTGGAAATTTAATTAAACATTAAATTATTTCAAGTCCCACTAAACATAAATTTATTTTGGGGTTGATGGATGTAAAATCATGATCTTAATCTCATAATCTAGTTAGTGCTGGAAACATGTATTGATGAAAAATTTTTGTTCAACAGGTATAGATWCTATTTATAAAATATATTATGTCTTATTTTGGGGATGCATTTGATAGTTATATGTCTAGTTCAGTGAAGTTYAGTTTCATTAAGTAATTGATTTGTTCTTCAAATTGTCGATACATCTACTAATTATGTATAATAATATGTTAGGTTATATTATTCGAATATAATACTTTTTGATTTTTATCTACCTAATTTTGTTTTGATCCTTGAAAATTCAATAAAAGAAAAGTTTGTCTTTTTCTTAATACTAAGTGTATATGTTCATGAGAAATTAAATTAATTAATTTTGGCTATCATCTATTCTACTCWGTCCATACACTAAGAGATATGATAGTAATATATGCTATTTTTTAYAGCTTCATAAAACATTTTATAGAATTTTTTTATTTAACATTTTTGTTTAACCTAACCTATTCATATATTATAATTATTAGGTATGTTATCATTTTGTTCTATGGTAGGTTTAAAAAACATGTATCAAGGTTTATAATGAATATTTATTTTTTACTCGTAACAATTACTTTTTATGTATAATAACTGATATTAAACAATTTGTATGTACTATTTTAAGTTTTGATTGTGGTATTATTTATTGTGTATATTAAAATGTTCATAGTATTTTTAAGTTGTCAAAAAAGATTTTGAAATACATTAAAATAAGAACCTACTTATCAACACATTATTTAATAACTTAATAATTAATACAATGCAAAAAACTAAAAAACTCCAGCTCTGCCGCTCTGGTGCCAGACACCATAATCTATTGGCATGTTTAATTTGGTATAATGAATCTTGTCAAAAGCATTTTGTTAAATTTGATATGCTAATAGGTACACGGAAAGATTCTATGACAGTAATAATTCAGAATTCTATATAATTTTGATGATATAGTTCTTAAATAACATTTACCTTACTAATAAGTGTTTTTAGATTGTTTATTTAAAGAGAATTTGTAATAGAGCTTGTTATAATTTCTTTGTTAGATATGTTTTTAAATACATTTTTGTGTTCTACCTATATATGATTTAACTTTAAAAACTTGTATTCTTGTACTATGTAGTTTAAGAATTTAAAACTAATTTAATTTCAAACCGTTTTAACGCCATCATATAAACATAGTAATGGTTGTGGATATAAATTTATTAGGCCATATAGAATATAATAGGGGTACCTATATTCCAACTTTTGACTTGTAATTAAGTATAATCTTTTAACATAATAGATAAACTGTTACTATAATATAATCTTTTATTTATTGACTCTTAATTTACATTATTTTCCATGTATGGAGTATAATTCATGTATAGATATTATATCCCTTTTATTTTATTTTTATGATATACCTACCTTACTATTTAAAATAACACATTTTCTTCAGTGACTATTAAGCAATTTATTATTGGCCGTCAAATATTTAAATTAATATAAACTTTTATTCTTAGTTTAACTCTGACTGATAACTTAAACATTTAATAGTAAATGGTAAAAAAAAAAAAATTAAAATTGTTATTTGTTTAATAGAAACATCAGTGTTTTCTGACTAGCTAATTTGAGAGAATCTTAAGAAAACACCCATTGAAAAATTCAACGGAAAAAAATACGGCAACCTAACTAACTGATGCATTATTTCTATTATTATTTTTATTTGTATCTCTTAGGCATCTTATCCATTATTTTGTACCAGTATTGAGCAATATAAGATAGAAAACGTTTTTATATAACTATTACCTACCTAATTAAATATTACATTTAGGGCTTAGAACTTAATGCACTTAAATAGTACTTATATGCATGTGCATAATATGTGCTTAAAAATAAGCACTTTTTTTAATTCAACATTTTCATAAACAAATATTTAATAAATTATGTTTATCTGTCAATACTACTCATAAGTTGCTGGATTTGTTGATGTACCTTTAGTATTCATAAATACAAAAATGTTAAAATAATACAAATATTAGTAAATATTGATTTTTAATTTTTAAACACAATATCCAGAAATTAAATTTATAGAATTAATTAAATACATAAATGGTAATATTTATAGTAAAGGAATAAAATAAAATTGTATTCCCATAGTAGATTTCTAGTGTGCACATATTAATATAGTATATTACAATACTTAGAATTTTAAAATTATGATATAATAATACCTAATGAAAACTTAAAACAAATATTATTTTTATTTTTCTATTGAAGAATTTTCAAATGACTAATTATTAATTTTTTATTGATCATCAACAAATATGTTCTAAAAAATAGTAAAATTAAGAAACATATTCTTTAAACTTCAAAATCACTATATATGCACTTTAAACCTAATACTTTTCGCATAGTGTTCTGAAACTAACTTCAGGCTTACTTAACAAAAAATGTAATACCCTGCCAAACACAGTCTGAGCCTTAGTAATAAGTTTGTATTAGGGTGGAACAGATTAAACTGACATTTGGAATAACTTTTGTTCAAATCAGTTTTTTTTATTTGTCTTTTTTTCTACCCTAGCGCTACATATATGATAATTTTTTTCATGTTTATTTTTTAGTACTGAAAATAAAAAAAATTTAATCTAATAAAAAATTGTTTGGATAAATTCAATATAGTCTATTTGTAAATCTGATTTTAAGAATAATTTTGACGGTAAAAAGATTTATCTAAGTCAAGTAGTTTTATTTTTAGTACTTTTTTAAAATTCAATATTATTTTGGTAAAATCAATTTGGAACGTAATTCGTAATTCTTTTTTTAAAAATATGATTTTTGAGAATTAGCTGACAYGAGTTTTTTCTTAAATTATTTACTGATCATATAATAACAATTTTTGTCATACGTTTAATTAGTAAATTTTTTTTTTTGGTCAGGTCTTTCTGATATACCTTGTATTTTGTATACATATACATTTGAATTTGAGTTGTCGGGCATACATTTTGTTTTTATCCATACCATGCTAGTTGCCATTGAGGTTTGTTCTTACTGTGAAAAAATAGTGTAATTTTGTAACATCTCTGTATATTTTTCACGTGACCAAGGAATGCATTTGTTAGTGTTGGCTTATTTTAATAAAGACATAATATGAAATATTGAAATGTGAACTGCTAACTTTTCTGTTTTTGATAAAGAAACTGAATATACAATGATAATCTGTAGTTTAGTCCACAAACAAACWCAAAGGTGTTTAAAATTTAAAATGTTAGAATTTTCATAAATAATTAATCTTATAATATTGTAAAGTAACTAAATACAGTGATTTAAAATATTTGTTTAACTTCTACACTAACCTTTTCACTGTTGAATTAAACAAATTCTGAATTATTTAAAATGTTCTAATTTTTTAAGCTTAAAATAATGAGAGTTCGGGATTCTTGAAGTTGTATGATTATCGGCAAATGATAATATATAATATATAGTATAAAATACAGAACGTAATAGGATTTTTGAAGCAGTGAATAGACGAAATGTGTACATTTTTCAGATGTAATAGCAGTGAAAGGGTTGATAHACATATTTATGTAAAACTATAACCATACTTTGGATTGATTTTAATTTTTAAATTCACCTACATAACTTATTTTTTGAAATATAATTTTTTGTTTAGAATTTATAATGTCTGAAAGTGGTTGGGATGATGAAGAGTCTGGTTCTTCGTACCAAAGAGGCCGCGGCCGTGGTGGTAATCGTGGAGGAGGTCGTGGAAGAGGAAACTATAATAATAGAAATAATGATGACTTCAACTCAGCTTCTAATGGTGATAGTTGGGGAAATGGCGGTAGCGGTGGTGCAGATGAATGGTCCACTAATGATGACGGAGAACGTGAAGGTGGATACCGTGGCCGTGGTCGGGGCGGCAGAGGACGAGGTGGCAGAGGTGGAGGCCGAAATATGGAAAGAAGTAATGATGATGAAGAAGGAGGTGATGGAAACTTTGGTGGTGATGATGGTGAACCTCCAGTTTCTGATAAACCCAGACCAACGTATATACCTCCAGAAATTGATGAAAATGATGAATATGGAATTGGGGTTGGAAGCAATTTCAACAAATACGAAAATATTGAAGTAAAAGTTAGTGGTGATTCCGTCCCAAAACACATTGAATCCTTTAAGAGTTCAGGGTTACGTGAAGTATTAATAGAAAAATTGATAAAATGCAATTACACCACACCTACTCCGATTCAGAAATATTGTATTCCTGTTATTATTAGTGGACGAGATATGATGGCTACTGCCCAAACTGGTTCTGGTAAAACTGTGAGTAATGTTTAAAAACTTATAATTGTTGGTTAAATTATTATAATATAATGCATTTATATATAGGCTGCATTTGTTTTGCCAATTGTGCATACTTTACTTTCTCAACCTCAAGATTTAGTTTATGATCGGGATTACTGTGAACCTCAATGTATTATTATGTCACCAACAAGAGAATTAGCAATACAAATTCGTGATGTTGTATTTAAGTTGACCTGTGGAACTTGTATTAAACAATCAATTCTCTATGGTGGCACTGCAACATCACATCAAAGGGGAACACTGGCTGTAAATTTTAATTCAAATTTAATTTAAATATTCAAATTTCATTTTATGTATTTTTTAATTTATAGAATGGTATTCATATATTAGTAGCAACACCTGGACGTTTAAATGATTTTGTGGGTCGTGGATACGTATCATTTAAATCATTAAGGTTCTTTGTGTTAGATGAAGCAGATAGAATGTTGGACATGGGTTTCAAGCCAGATATCGAGAAAATATTAAACCATGAAACAATGGTTGATGTTGTAAGTAATAATACCATCATGTGTTTTATAAATATCAATGAACAAATATTTTTAAATAATTTGTGAAATGTATAACGCTATTTTTTTTTTTTAAATTTAATTTGAAGAATACTAGACAAACACTTCTGTTTTCTGCAACATTGGCAGAGGATATTCAAATGTTATCTAAAGATTATTTGAAACCAAATTATGTATTTGTTGCTGTGGGTGAAATTGGAGGAGCATGCAAAGATGTTAAACAAGAAATTAGAGAGGTTTCCAAGTTTGAAAAAAAGAAAGAACTGATCAAAGTTTTAGAATCCTTAGGTTGTTATTGATTACTTAAAATTTATTTGCAAATTATTTATGTATGTCATGATTGTTCATGTATTGGAATTATTCTTTTTTTAGGAGATTGTAAAGGGACAATGGTTTTTGTGGAACAGAAAAGAAATGCTGATTTCATTGCTGCATTTTTAAGTGAAAAAGACTATCCTACAACTAGTATTCATGGTGACCGTGAACAGCCAGAGAGAGAACAAGCCCTAAGAGATTTTAAGAGTAATAAAATGAAAATTTTAGTTGCTACTGCAGTTGCTGCTAGAGGCCTGGGTTTGTGATATCTACATTTTTTTTTTTTTTTGCTGTTTGTTATCTTATTTTGTTTTGTTCAGATATCAAGGGTGTTAACTGTGTTATAAATTTTGATATGCCAAGCTCTATTGATGAGTATGTGCATCGAATTGGCCGAACGGGAAGACTGGGTAATTCTGGCAGAGCAGTTTCATTTTATGATAGTTCTACTGATAATAACTTATCATCAGAACTTGTTAGGATTCTAAAACAGGTCTGTTAAATTTAAAACTTTTTTCTACTGATGAATTATTATATATTTYTAATTTTCAGGCTGAACAAGAAGTGCCGTCATTTTTAGGTGGTGGCGGTGGTGGTGGTGGTGGTGGAGGAGATTCCTATGGAGGAAGTAGTACCGCATGCAGTGACTATAGAGTGACTACGGTAAATATATTTTTGTATTTTAATTTTTTTTTTGTTAGTTAAATTGATAAATTTTTCCACATTAACAGTGTGAAGTATGTTTTTAAATAAATAAATAAATTAATGGGTTATGTTTTATGTTGTTTCTGTCCCATGTGCACTATAGTAAATGGCAAATTTTTATATTAATGAATTCACTCTGATAGTACTAAACTAAAAATATTATACTCATACATTGGCTATTTTAATTTCCATTTAAGTTATAAGCATGTCAATTAACTCAATTACAACTAATAAGATAGTTGCTTAGTTAGTAGGTGAATTTGTTCATATGGTTGCATATGTTACTTTCAGTAAGAATACAGGTTGAGTTGATTTTGCTTAACCTATTTTGGTATATTTGTGTTTGGATAGTAAAAAGTGCTTTGGCATCCTCTTAATTTTAAGGGTTTCCTAAATTAAATTATCTAACTAAAATATGTGTAATGCAATTATTTTCAATTTTGTTTTGTTTTTTTGTTCTTTATTGCAGCAAGCTGATAATGATGGATGGTGAATCAGTTTGTTGTTCCATTGGATTATTATTTATTTAAACAACCTAAATATGGACTGATTAGATTAAATTATTTGACCATTTAAGGTCCATTATTAAATTTTCCTATAACTTGCATTTAGTTTTATAATTATTTATGTTATGTTATAATTATGTTGTATACATATTACCTTTGTTATGCTAAGATTAATTTAATAACTTTTAATTTGAAATACATAGCAGTTATAATAATATATAATCCTTGTGGTTGTTTTTATTATTGCATTTATTTTTTTTCTTATTAATTTTGTGAAGACCTTTCATTTTATTTAGTTCTTAAATAAAATATTTTATCTATTTTAAAGTGCTAATAAGTATCTGTGTATAGTGTTCAGGTATAAACTAATTATTTAGGAATATATCTTAATAATTCATTGATTTTACGATTTATTATTTAACAACTTAGGGTTTTTTAATAAGAATATTTCGTGATGGTCAAACACTTCAATGAAGTTGATTGAGAGGTTAATGATTTGGAATAGGGAGGCCACACCAATGTGCATAAATTAGCTACTAGCTGCAAGGTAAGATTTATTTTGATATAATATATATTTACCATCAAAGAGATGTTCATATTGAAGTTCCTATTGGGGGCGTAACCGTAGCCAGGATTTTATTTCGGGAGAGAGCCTCTAAAAAAACTACCTTATACTGTTATGATATACAAGCGTGTATACATACATAATTATGTGTCTGGACAGCATAGACCACGCTCCCCCTGCTACTTCCTTGGTTTATATTATTTTAGGACAGGTATCTATAGGGTAGTCACTATTACAAGAACTTATTTCTGAATTACATTTCTGAATTTTTGCAATTAACTGTTAAATTCATTTTTCAAAAACTCAGAAAAAATTATATTTTTAGTGATTTATGGAGTGCCTATATATGAAGCATTAACTTGTAATAAAAAATATATCTATATATTAAACAATTTAAATAACGAATATTAAATTACAGTAATTAAAATATTTCTTATTTTTTTTGTCTACAAATTCTTGTTATATTTGTACAATCAATACTCCTAAGAATATAATTTTCTATTGATAGCAATGAAATCGAAGAAATTTTATTTTGAGATAAGGTGGATCTCAAATAATTTTTAACATGTCGAAGTACTGAAAATGATAGTAATGTTCACCACTCGTATTTGTGCATGAAATTCAACCAAAGATTCTTAAAATTATAAGAACATAGGAAAAGTAGCTTTTAAWGAAGAATTAGATAATTTTTTTATTGAATAAATTTTTCGACAAATTATGTATTCAAATCGTCAGTATACACTATACATAGTGTTCATCAATTTAGGGAACACTGAATTTCTCGGCCGAATTTGTTTTGAATAAATCAATTTCTTTTTTACAAACTGGTGGTATGAATACACATTTTTCTTGGTCTGCGCACGCACATGCGCTTTTTTTTAAATAGCAATACCTATTTTAATTAAACAAGACTAACATAATATGGATACAAAATTATTTATTAAAAATCGACTAGTTACAACTGGTACAAGTGAACAATAGTTATTTTATATTTACACAATAAATTAAATAAATTGTTCATAGTTTGCTCCGTGATTGTCGAAGCATAATTGGAAACGCTGTAGACATCCTCTTTTGGTTGCTGACATTATTTGATTTTTGGTAAGGTAACGCAACCACGATTTTATTTTTTAAATCTGCTAGATTTACTGGTGGATCTGCGTAGACTATTGTTTTATAATAAAAGAAATCAAGTTGAGTAATAAKTAATATCTGGAGATTTTGCTGGCCATTTAAAGGGGCCATAAGTGCCAAACCATTTTCACTCATATGCCCGATTTAAATGATCTCTAATAATATGAGCCAGGAGCTCCGTCGTGCTGAAAATAGAGGACAAACTTTGAACGTTTGAACGATTTATTTAATTTATTGTATAATTATAAAATAACTATTGTTCAGTTGTACCTAGTCGATTTATTAATAAATAGTGTTGTATCCATATTCCATATTATGTTAGTCTTGTTTATAACATTTCTAAAAAAAAAAATACGCACAAAAAGTAACCAATAAGAATTAACTATAATGTTTAAAAATGTATTATTTAATAAAATTGACATGGTTCTTATTCAGTCAATATTGAACTTAGAGTCATAGTTGATACATGAAAATTACTTTAAAAAAATAGGCCTATCCGAATTTTCAAAATTTTTTGAAATGTATCGAAAAATGTGTAGGTATTAATATACCACCAACTTGTAAAAAAAAATCGATTTATTCCAAACGAATTCTGCCGAGAAATTCAGTGTTCCCTAAATYGGTGAACACTGAACACACAGTATATACTTACAATGTTCAATGTACGCTAACAAGTAAGAAAGTATCCAAACGATTCAAGTAAAAAATAAATAAATACCAAAGCTTTAATTTATATCTAGATCAGTTGCTTTTCGTTCATTTAAATTTGAACATAATGTTATAATGTATCAACCATCAAACTTGAAAGTTAATAACARTTACGAATAAAAAATATAATATAATAAATAAAATGGTTTTGCTAATTGTACCTACTATTAAAAACAAAATTCAATTCAAAACAACTCGAAACTCRTTCTTTGATTTTCTATTTCTTTTGTTTGGCTAAATATCTAAACTTTGCGCCACTTGGTTTTCTTTTGTTTTGCAACCCCTCGACCCCCGACATAGTTAAGAAAATATTGTAAGTAATTTAAAATTAAAACGAACAAACAATTGCATTACATATATCCGTAGCCAGTCTACTGAGGGCCTGTCCAGTATAAATGTATATTAATTAATAGTAGGTACATAATATTATCAGAAAGATAATGAGAATTAACAATAACACACGCAAAGCATACAGGTATAACTAAAATTAGAATTTTCCTATTAACCATATTAATTATTAGATCCAGGAATTGGATACATTTGCATCTTTTTTTCTAATGCCCACATTCGATGCTCGTCTATACATAAATTTGATTCATGAAGTTTAGAATTTAATGGTACAATTTTTATTTTGCATTTTTAAAGTATTTTTAGTGCATTTTATTCATTTTTCACATACCTATATTTGCATTTTTCTTGTTGAAACTTTAAAAGTTACACATGCAGTTTTCATTAACTTGTTGTTTATCAATGTTCATTCTTTTTTTTTGTTGCCAAGAAATCAAAAAAATAAATTTTACCAAAAGTAGTATTTTCAGATTTTGACCGGAGCGATAAATGTATTGATTTTACAATGTTTTTTTTTTGTGTCTTTAGACAAAGTTGTCGAAATAATGCTTCAATTTTCAACTTCAGTAGCTTTTCCAGTTGGAAAGTGAACTAGTTGGTGCTTTGGTGCATCAAATTTTGAAATTCCCAATAGTTTTCAAAAGCACCGAGAAAAACCAAAAGAAAAAACAGGAAGTTTTATGCAAAATCAATTTTTGAGAAAATCGATTTTAGATGTTGTTGTAACTCTAAAACAAATAACTGTTGACACATGAAATTTTCACTGAATATTATTTATACTGGCATCTTCTATACATTATAACATTTTAAAAATATTTCAAATCTTTTTAGTTATTAATACCTAGATATTTGACATTTTCAATCTTTTATTATAAATTACAATAAAATCAAAATCTTATTCGTTAGGTAAAACAATTTAATACAAGGCTCCT